GTGCGCGCGGCCTTCGTCGGCCTCGGTGGATTAACGCAGTGCTCGCTTACGAGGGGCGTGATGGCATCGCGCCAGATGCGATACCCCTCGGGCGACAGGTGGATACCGTCGATGCTCAGAGTATCGGCGAGTGCGCCTTCCTCGCCCACGACGTCGCGCGTGAAATCGATGAACTTCACCCTGTCCGACTGCATGCGCGCGTAAAGGACATTCAACTCATTGATCTTTGGGTTGATTTTGCGGCGATAGCCCTGTGTCACAGGCAGCACGGCGGTCAGGTATACCTTGACGTCGGCCTCGTTCAGTTGCGCGACGACCTGCTGGACGTTTGCGGCGATTTTCTCGACCGGTACGCTCGAGGCCACGTCGTTGACGCCGATCATGAGAAACACGGCGAAAGGATTGAGCTTGGTGACCTCGTCGAGGCGGCGGAGCACGCCGGCGGAATCGTCCGCCCCGATGCCGCGGTTGGCGACGAAGGGGCAGCCGGTGATCTCGGACCATTGCGCCCGTTCGGTGAGGCTGTCCCCCAGCATGACGACGCTCGCCCGCTCGATCTGCGTCAGCGCGAACATGCCCTGACGCTGGCTGCGGTGCGACGGCGGCTTCGCCTTGGATGCCTTCTCAACGACGTCCTTGACGCGGCGCACTTGCGCCTGGGCCATCTCCGAGCCTTGCGAGGCGATCAGTCCGAGCCAGGCAGCGGCCAGCGCTAATCCCTTCAGGGTGCGCGCCAATCCCGGCGAAGCGAACGGTTTGAAGGAGACGGGCATTGGGTTCTTGGGCCGGCTTTCGAGCACAGGTTCGGCGCAACGCTCAGGGGCGTGCGCAGCAGCTTTGGCTTGCAATCACGTCGGATTTATCGAAGCACCGAGATTGTGTCCAGGCAAAGACCCGTTGCTGCGGTTTGCCGGCAGTTGCGGCCATGATCGCGCGCATCATGGGCGAGATGCAAGAAGCACACACACCGAGCCCCTCTCGTATGATCGCCAAGCCGCGCAGATTTCTCTTTCGTGTCGGTATGGTACGASAGGTTGCCCTGGCCGGTGTGGCGGCGCGTGAAGTTGGCGATGCGTATTTTCCTCACTCTTGTTCTGGCTCTGCTCGTGAGCTTTCCGGGCGGCGCGGTGCGTGCCCAATCGCGCGCGCCATTCGCGCCGGCCGAGGGGGCCTATGTCATCGGCACGGTCGGCGACTCTCTGGGTGATGGCCTGTGGGAGGGCCTCTACCGTAGCTTCTTCCAGGACAAGCGATTTCTGGTCCTGCGCGGCTCGCGCCGGTCTGTTGGCTTTGCGGATTCCGACCTGACGCACCAGATCGATGCGCTGACCGCAAAAATCCGGGTCGATGCCTTGTTCGTGATGGTCGGTGCCAACGACGACGGCCGCAGCTTCTTTGTAAACGGTCGCGCCAATGCCCTGTTCGGAACGGACCGCTGGAAGGAGCAATACAAGGCGCGGGTCATGGCATTCATGGCCCACGCCGGCCGGCTCGACACGCCGCTGATTTGGCTCCTGCTTCCGGCCATGCGTACCGGAGAGATGAACCGCGCCGCGAGCCTGATCAACGCGCTCGTCGTCGAGGCGGCGGGCGAGCACCCGCACGTCGCGCTCGTCCCTACTTACACACTSACATCGGACGCGAAGGGCATCTACGTAACGCACTTCAAGGATCTTCAGGGGCGGCTGCGTTTGATGCGTCTACCGGATGGCTTGCACTTCACGGAGCCGGGCTACACTGTACTCGCCCATCAGGCGCTGGCGAAACTCGTCGAGGTTTCCCCACGCTTTCGTGCGATCGCGCCTGCGAACGCGTTCATGCAGACGAACTAAGGCGAGTGGCATGCGCAGGACTGGCACCGCTCTGCTACTGACGGGCCTTATCGTTCTCGGTCTCACCTTTAATCGTGCCGCTGCCGAGGGCCCGGAGCCCGATATGCCGCTCGACGAACCGGGCGCCCCCGTGCTCAAGCAGATGCCGAAGCACGTGCGCGATGGCATGCTGGGCGGACGGCCATGGCCACAGCTCGCAGTCTTTCACCGCCGCCTGGCCGAGTTCCGGGCCGGCAAGGGCACGCGGCTGACGCTCATCCAGATTGGCGACAGCCATACTGCGGGTGACCAGTTCACCGGTCGTTTGCGCGCAACCTTTCAAGCCCAATTCGGCAATGCCGGTCGTGGCCAGATCGCGCCCGGCGTACCSGCTCCCTACTGGCGACCGTCAAACGTCAAAGCCGAGCAGTCCGGCAAGTGGCAAGTCTTCACCAGCAACAAGTCGGGCTACACGAAACTGCCGTACGGTATCTCCGGGTACGTTCTGCGCGGAACGGAGGCCGGCGACACGATGTC